AGTTGAACGAGCGTAGACGTGACATAGCGCAAATGACAATGATTGGAGAGTATCAGGGCTGAAATTGTTCTCATCGTGTAGGACCTAGTTCAAGAAGTTCATTGGTGAGATGACCATTGCTAAGTATTTGCCAACACACCGAATAATGAGCTGGTCGACTTGTTCCCAACAAACCGCCATGCGATTGAAGATAGAAGTCAAGGTCGGTTGGGTGTCCGATTTCTTTGTCAACCACTGTTCCGGCAGGACAATTACCAGATTTATCAGCGTCTTTCGCTGACGTAGGGAAAAATCTAGATGAACGAGTTCTGTGTGTAACTAGATACACGGAGAGGAAAACGGAACATACCGGATGTGGTGACGCTTTCCGACAACGATGAAAGTGATTTTTGGCTTAATATTTAGTGCAGCGCAAGCCTCTAGCGACAGTAGTCCAATGTTAGCAGGGATAACTAATTCACGAAAGGATCACTCACTCTGGAGTGCCACAAATTCTTGATCCAAGACTTGTTTAAATTGACCTTCCGAGACTCCATCTGCAGATATTTGAGTAAGAGAAGTAAGGAAAGCACGAAACAATAAACCTCTGTAGAAAATAATACGCTTGGGAGGCGCAATCTGCGGACCCTTGTGCTCGACTGTTGAGCGATAGCCGATATACATATTGATCATGTTCTACAGATAATTTGAGGAACATCAAAGTGATTGTAGTGAGATTCAGCAAACCTTGGCCATCGTTTCCAAATCTTCGATTATCTCTTGGCGAGATGTTTGCACTCCGCAATCCGCGACGTACTTTGCGTTGTCTGAGTCAACGCTCGCCACAAGCGCAGTGAAAGAGGGGCGGCCATGCGAGCCAGGTGCGGGGTGTATAACGTCAGCACCTAGGGGGAAAAATGATAAGTTTCCAAGTCATGAAGGGATGAAGGCAGAAGGGATGCGATTACCCATAACAATGGTCGGATTTTGAGGATCCGCTAGGGCCCTCACTGAAATCGGATCTGGGATAGCATTTATTCCCCCAAGTTTGACATTTATCCTAGCGTAGTAGGGTTCAGCTTGGAAATATAAGTTTGACTGCGTCCTCACTTCAGACAAACGTTGGCGAAATACTGCGCCTGCGCGCGGGAACACTTTGAGGATTTCAGGCATTGAGTAGCAACGCCCGTTGTGATGTCTCCAAAGCTGATACCAGTTTCTTAATTCGTGATACAAGCCACACGAACGTGCAATACTCACTGTTTGACAGCAGTATAAATTTCATTGCCACCTTCAGGCAGAACGACGACGATGAGTTTTGGATATTGCTGGTATCTGGTGAACACTTTGCTCCCTGCATCCCGCAGTTGTTGGGCGATATCGCCTTGACCATTCTCCCAAGCGACAATAGGGGTGGGTGTCATACTCATGCCTGGTAGAGAAAAAAAACAGGCTTAACTACTCGAAGGCTGAACGAAAACAATGAAAGATACAGACCAACGTCACGAGCACTGTTACACAGACCCTGACTCATCTCCGTAGCGGCTTGGTCGTTGAATCGTTGCCTGCGCTCCTATAGAATGAAGGAAAGAAAATCAACGTTGAACCACACAAGCATAGCGGAAACCTCATACGTAAATGACGATGGCCCAATGAAGGATTTCGATCGGTTTGAAAAATTGCTTGTTGCGCCTTCGAAATGTTAAGAACGAATGGATTGGCTACAATGTACCATATATGAATTGGAATGCTTACATATTCCACTGACCGTTTGCTGGTGTCTGTAAGGAGATGAAAGACGCATGAATTGAGAGATCAGCATGGGAAGGGGATAATTGACCACATACAATTGTGGGTTGCTGACTTCCCCGCCCATATCTCAATACAGGAGGGTTCAGCACTCGTGCTTGGATCTTTGTCGCTCTCGTTTGAGGGATCGACATTCTGAAATTCCGGACATAGTCTGATTGACCGTAGGCGAGTACCTGGAACGTAAAATTGGAATTCCGAAACGAAGAGTACATTGACCCCATACCTGAAGCCCGGCCTCAATAGATCTAAGACGCTCTTGTGGTTTCTTGGTCGCGAACTCTACAACGTCTTTCGTCTTCTCCGGAGGCACCTGCTTTCTCATGATCTGTCCAGGAGGAACCTCACATAGCTCGAGTGGAATGAGAGCACCGGAACCAATCTGAAGAAAGCCAAAACACTTTCGTTAGTTCTATTCTGGTACTTGAATGATATCAACACAAACCTCCACACAAATCAAGTCGGGATATTGTAACGGGCGGTTCAGCACATTTTGAAAGTACTGCGCAACAGTCATGGTTTCTCCCCCTTTCACCTTGAACGACAACGCACTAGCTCCAGCAGCGCTTAGCTTCTTCACCACCCGAGCTATCTTGCGATCACCCGAAGTGTTAGTGATCACGCGTATGCCTGAAATGAACTTCTGGAGACGGAGACGTTCGCGATCAGGCAAGCCGTGTTTCGGGGCTAGGACTTTTGGATCCATTTTTTTGAAAAAGTTGAGGCAAAGGTCGATCAGCCGTCCGGCTTTGTACATGGTCGCAGTGCTGGTGTCGATGATGATGTACATCTTGCCTAACGCTGGGCGAACAGATTGAAAATAACCTCTCCAGAGCTCGAGTCCTAGTAGCGGAAGATAAGAGCTATAAGTGTGAATGAAGGGACTATGTTGGCACAATCGTACCTAGTCCGATGTCCTTTTTCTCCTGATCGGTGAAGAATGAACGAACGTTAAAGGGGAATTTTTGTGAGGGTTCCATGCGGATGACAACGTTGAGGGCCTATTGGTCAAAAAGTGTTTGAAAATTCAACTACCCACCATGTTCAACGAGAAATTCATACCGTGATCGCGGTCAACACCGCATTATCTTGAGATTGCTTTCCATCAATATATCTTCGGAGAACTCTGAGATACAGCAAAGTTTTAAGCACACGCCCGACATGCTTTGAATTGTAAATGTATAGCATACTCTGGATTGATCTGCGCAACCAAATTGAAGCGAATCTTGTACACTTTCGGCCCTTTTCCCTTTGGACTGTCGTCTGCAGTCTCAAGCGTTACCTCGAACTGAGAAAATGACCAGTAGATGTGTATCGTGCCACAATGATGGTCAGATCAAAAGCTCACCTCTTTGCAATCCTCAGGTCCCAGAGGTAACTTCCGAGAGCTGAAGAAATTCTTTCTTCCGTCGTATACGCCAAGTGGCGTGAACACATCAGGCGCGATACGCGTTTGGAGCGCACGAATCAAATCCATATTAAGACGGGCTGGGAGCGTCTTGTCGGCTGGATGGATGACTGAGGACGCGTTTTTAATTAACGCGAGCACATGCAACAACCTGATAAGGTCAACAAACCGACTGAGGAGAAGGCACAAGTTCGTCGTTGCATTTCTATGGATATGGAAGTGGGAAGAACATACTGTCATAGTGGTAAATTATTCCTTGGGGTATCGTCGTTTCGAAGGCGTTAACGAAGATTGGTAAAGGTCGACCTGCATTTCCAAATGATGTCCTTTTCACGCCAACGGTTGTGATGTGATTCACGGTTGGAACAACATTCGCAATGTTTCGAGGGGGCATCACAGAAAAGGTAGTGGGGGGATGAAGAAAAGGTTTGATGAGCTTGAGCTATCCCATGGCCACAATACATGTACAGGAATTTGATGCCACCCACGATGTGATGACTTGTCATTGGCGCCATGACATCTTCAACATGTCTACAGTGCTTCACAGCTTTCGATTACTTTCATTGAAAGGCCTTGCATTCCGAATGTCTTCGACACCGTCATCCTCTTTCATAACTTCTTCTCTTCAACACTTAGGCTCTGTTGACCACCCTATCGAAATCATATGGACATCCCATCCACTCTGGCCCGTTCCTTCCAGTCGTGCGCAGAGAAAGCTCAACATTTCTGTTCTAGACTCCTCTTTCAATCCACCAACAGTTGCTCATTTTGCATTGGCAAACACACCCAGACCGCGACATGAGGATAGCAGCGACGATTATGATGGGAAATTGCTTTTGCTCTCTGTCAGGAATGCAGATAAGCAATTGAAGCCAGGCGATGCGACGTACACTCAACGAATCGAGATGATGATTCGGCTCGCAGAGGATCTCCGAGATGCAGACGGCCATGGGAATGGGTCGAACGATAACGTTGCAGTAGCAATCATCGACGAGCCCACCTTTGTCGGTAAATCCAGGCTTCTTCAGATTTTCCTCAAGGAACGACTTCGTTCAATTAGCTCAAGCCTAACACCTGAAGTTGATTTAACATTTATACTAGGATTCGATACACTGGAGAGACTGTTCGCTCTAAAATATTACGAATCTTCGGAGGACAAGATGTTCAAAGCCTTACGAGGCTTCTTCAGTCAGTCTGACGGTGATGGCTCCTGTGTTGCTTGCGCGCGCCGAAATACCTCTTCCTACCCACATACATCAAAACCTCCGCCCAATTCTGCATCAGAGACAAACTCCCTCTCTCAAACGATATCGAATTTCCTTGCCTCCTCTGCTCTTCCATCCTCATGTATATCAATAATTGACATTGGGGAGGATGTGTGGAGTGTCAGTTCAAGTGATGTTAGAGAAGATGTTGGGAAGGAGAGCGGAGTGACAGAGAAGTCAAGCGGGGAGGGTGGCTTTAGCAAAGGAGGTCGTCGCCAATGGAGAGAAATGGTTCCCGAGCATGTAAGAAGATATATCATTGAACATGATCTATACAAGTAACCGGTGAGTTCTGACCTCAACGATATGGGTTCACGAATTGCTTGTAAGCACACCGTCGTTCATGGAAAGCCAATCACTTTGCCGGAGTGGTTAACGGTTTCTCAGATTTTTTCTCCCTTGTTGATTACCTCAATTGGGACAGAGTCAAGTTTGTTCATCGAGTTCAAGCGTTGGCAATCGGCTTAGATATGTAGTCGAGTATCAGTGGACAACCTAGAAGGCCATTCTTTGAATTATTTGGTTCGTTATCGAAATAAGTCACTTTGCCGGAGTGGTTAACGGGATCGCCTGCTACCATTGGTAGACCTGAAGCGGTTGGGCTTTGCCCGCGTGTGTTCGAATCGCACAGGTGACGATACATTTTTGTACATCTTTTTAATCTGGCGTTAGAAACTTGAAAGAAATGTTCTGGATAATTTAAAAAAATTTTTGATGAAATATGATTACCTTCTTGAATGCAGAACAACGTTGAACTGGATCTAGCGTCAAAACTTGCACATATTATGAACAAAAGGGCTCATGCTTCCATCATCTGACAACTGCAGCATGATCTTCATATCCTCTTCGATACTATTATTTACTGATCTTTCCACTTCCGAACGTTGTGCAGAAAGAGAAACATGTTTTGAGGCCGGGCCACGGCCAGAACTGAAGACGCTACAGAAAGAACACGCCGTGAAAGAAAATGAAACGATTATTATTATTCGCTACTAATCTAAAGCACCTCAAAATAGACGCCAACCGAGCCCTAGTTTCTTTTCCCCCTCGGCTTCTCAGCCTCTGCGAGAACCTTTCGCTTTTTCTCCAAGCGCTCAATCCGCTGGGCCATCCTGTCTATGGCTTCCACATCTGTGCCCTCCTTCTTCAGAGCTGCCTCGCGAAGTTTCAGCAAACCGATTGCAGAGGAGATATACCCAATGAAGCTTCCCGAGAGCGAAAGTTTGTTGAACTTTTCGCACAGATCAGTAAGCTCTTTCTCAAACTCGATGATATCTCGTTCCAGCTGCTCGATCTCTGCTTGCGCCGTCTCCATCAAACCAGCAATTTTTCCGGACTCGGTCTTTGCTGCGTCGTACCGCTTCTTGACATCCGGGTCAATCACCTTATCCGTCTTGATCCTTCGAACCCACTTCGCCTGGTAGTGCTGATGATCTTTAGCTGCATGTCCGCAATCCTTACAGATACGATCAAGAAGCGCGACACCAGGTGTTTCGTCGAAGGAGGCACATAGCCTGGCAAGAGTCTCTTGAGACATGGTGAATCCAACAGTGCAGCGTTCGTGGCAATTCTTGAAACAGTTTCCAGCTACGCAGAGAGTGTTGTGATCCGGCGCTGTACTTTCGTGTTCGTAGAAAGGAGTGTTAATGATCCTCTCATACTTTTCGCTCAACATTTTGTGCCCCTATTCCAATCATGAGCATTTGTGCGACAGTGAAGAAACGTCGAGACTTGCCTGATTCTGAAAATCATCTTGTAGGTTTTTAAGCTTCATACGCCTATCCTCCGTCTGGCTCATACGGGCGATCACATTGGAAATGCGGGACTCGATATCTGTTGACATGATGTAAAGTTCGTAGATGCTGTGAGTTGCTTGGACCTTGCACTTTTCCAAGTACTGAAAGAATTGTGATAGCACTTTCAGCGCCTTGGTATATCCACGCTGAGCACTCTCGGACGTCTCCTCTAAAGCCTCTTCACTAGCAGGTGGATCCTGAGCGAGCAGCTTCTTATATTTCAACCACTGTGCAAATGGATTGTCGATCGCCCATATACGAGAGTTGCTTAACTCTGTCGGAAGGGAGGTTTTATCGAAATTAAAGGAGGCAGGGGTAGACACCATCGTGAAGATGAATGCGATGTTATCGACGATGGAGTTGGGGAACATGGCGGAAATGGTCTTGAGTGTGTATTCGGTCGCAGCACCTAAGCGGGCCTGAGTACCATTGGCGAGGATAATCACCGCGTCAATGACCTCGAAATGCTTCTTGATTGCGTTCGCGATGGCCTCCTTGTGTTCGTTGTCCTTGTCAATACCACGAGTATCAGCTAGACCAGGAGTGTCGAGAATGTTGATTTTATACCCATTGGCACAGGTAATATTGTAAAGGTGCGGCTGATTGGTCTGACTGCCAGATGTAGATCCACCTTCCTCGTTCTTGAGCTGATTCTTCTCTTCGAACTCTTCTAATGGGATACCAGCGCAAACGTTCGCGAGAAGGTTCAGCAGGGCGGTCTTTCCCACACCGGTCTCGCCGATAAGAATAAGATTAATTACGCTCTTGGTCCATGGCGGCTGAATGGTCATTTCTCTAGACGGACTGTTATCTATACATCGAACTTTGAGAAAACGAACGACGAACCTGATCGGCTTATCATCTGAAGTACTAGCCTCTGTGCTCGTAGGGGGCACAGTGGACGCACCGGTTAGCCTACATAGAACAGCTGGATTAGCATTGAGGTCAAGGCGTGTCAACTTATAGTTAAACATACTTAGATAAGATAGATTGAGACATGGATGAGGAAGTGAGTTTGCGGAAAACAGATGAACTCTTGAGCCAGCTTTTGACTGATCTCTGTTCGATCCTTTGGGACTCTTGCGGAATGCCCAGAATCGTTAGCGTATTATAGTTGTCATGTAATAACCCTGCAGGACTGTCGCATTTTATCACTTAGGCACAGCTTAGCTCTCCATTCCTTGTTTCTTTGTCGGAGGCACAGCACTTCCGGGAGCACGTAGTCCCTCGTAGTCGTCCTACTTGATCCCTGGCGTAGTTCAGTGACCCTGCATATAGGGGATTGACAGGGCCTAGCCCACGCATTGACTTATACAATCCTTTGTGCGAAGACAGAAGAGGAAAAAGGCCAATGTCATACGCAGTCGCTCTCGAATGTATCCCGAGGTGTGCCTCACTTTGGATTCAGAGGAGACAATAGTTTCCGGCACATTTCTACGTCCTCTTAAGACTGCCCTCCGGGTGCACAGACACTCATATGTTTGCATTCCGATTTGTAGGCAGATATTCGCCAGCGACACGAAGGCGATGAGCACAAAGGAATAGACAAGGCGATTGATTGATCCATCAAATGATGTTGGAGTGTTATGTAAAAAACGGATATAAACATTATCATCACACAGTAGTGTATGCTGGCTCATACTCTATCCAAACCCGACACTCTCGAGCCCCTGGTCTACAAGAGCTATTTCAACAAGCGAAACAGCTATGTCAGCTTTTAGTTCACGGAAGCGGCCAGGACCATGCGTTGACGCCACCCCAGCGAGTAGGTCGGAAGGCGCCTGTGCCTAAGGGTGGCGTTGAGTTGGTAAGATTGTAGAAACACGTAGTCCACACTGAATAGATAGCATACATTGCAAAGATTCAAGAAAGCGAAAACACCGCGAGCCTTTAAGTATTGGGGCTACAGCAAAGCCCGTCTACAAGCTGCAAGCTTTTTCGGCTATAAGTTCATAGGTATGATGAGATCTAATGTATGTAGCATTCATATCAAGAGAGAGGGTGCATGCTGTGCGCGCGGACAGTAGCTAAGCCGAAAGTTGGACGTTCAGGACGTGATTCAATGGCAAGAACACAAATTATATTTCGGACGACGCCTGTGGGTCCTGACGACGCGCTGTCACGGTGTCACACCTTTTCTCGATATCCGCTTCCACCCTTCCGGCTCCGCATCTGTCTAAGTCTTTCTCTGCAACCCCCAGAATCCGGTCATAGTCACTCATTGCAATCTTACGATGTCGCACTATCATCAATTGGACTCGAGTGGCGTTTCACGAACGAAGATTCTTCTACTTGGTTTACGGAGAAGTGGTAAAACGTCGATCCAGCAGGTTCTGTTCAACAGTATGACTCCAAAGGAAACATTCTACCTTGACGCTACAATGAGGACTGTTAAGCATACGTATGAGTGAGTCGCAATTTTCGAATGATCTCTTCTCTGTTCTGCTTGTTCTGCTCTTTGTTCTCGTAAAACCTTAGTTGATTTGTTCTTCATTGAAGGAACCCAATCTCACTATCCATTATACCCTAGCACTATCATACCTCTGGAAATATGGGACTGTCCAGGGAATATAACAGTGGAAACTCTTGGTGTTCCGCTTTCTGTATTTTCTACGCTTGTATTCGTTATTGATATCCGGGTACGATGCTAGTTCCCCTTTGACCTGAAGTATTGACTCAAAAATATGTCCAGGACCTTTACAATCAACCAATCTCTCGTCTCGTCGAATTCATTATCGCCGCATACCATCATAATCCTTCTCTCAACCTAGAGATATTCGTCCACAAAGCGGAGAAGCTACAAGAAGACGAGAAGATTGAAAACTTTAGACAGATCAATGAAAGGGTCATGGACAGACTAATGGACGTGTCGCCTTCATTACCGAATCTCCCTAATTCCAGCTCCAACCCCAGTTTGAATACGCCCAACTCTAGCGGCACGCAAATGAATAGCCCGAATCATCTCGACTGGCAGGATTTCATAGATCAACAACTTCTCATGAACTTCCATCTTACGTCTATTTTTGACCATTCGTTACATCAGGCGTTTTCGAAAGTGTTGCAAAGGTTGACCGACTCATTACCGTACCTTGAGGAACTGCTAAATATATACTGTGCGGTTAGTGTGCGGTTCTCCCTTTTATTCTGAGCCATTAATAATACATATATTGTAGAACTCTCAAGCTTCCAAGGTGTTCCTGTTCGACGCACCTTCAAGATTATATGTCACCTCTGACGCCTCACCTGTCGATGGCGCAACACATAATCTGTGTTGTGACAATTTGGCAATGATCAACGCTTTTGGGATGGGGTTATATAGGTGAATATTTAAGTTGTTTCACCTGCTGTCAAACCTCATCTCGTTTTGTCCACACATTCATTGACCTCCATTCTCTGTCCGCAGTTCCGCATCCGCAAGTCCTGTACGACGGCGGCGGGGAAACCCCGAGTCTTGCACGAACCATAACCCCGATCTTTCCAGCATACCACCCACACCACCACCGTCCGCGACTAGTGTCAATGGCAAATCATTTCCTTCATCGTCATCGTTATCCACACATCCTACCCCGTCCAGAAAGTCAACTGGAACATCGGCAAAATCAAAATCATCTGATTCTTCTGTTCCCGCTTCTACTCCGTCTTCATCTACCTCATTCTTACCTTCATCGTCATTATCGTCAACCGCAACAACCATAACGAAGACACCTGGTTCCGTTCCTACCTCTACTTCACAAACCATCCGAATACAAACACCTCAAGATTTATTTTACCCTTGCGGAGCTACCTCATTACAACCTTCTTCTCTCCCACCTTCATATTCCTCCTCATCGGGGTTACCGAT